TTCTCAGGATATTCTATAAAAGTGCACTTATTTCTTCAAGCAGAAATGGTGCCAATGGTTTGTTCCTTGGAACTTTCAACAAGAATGGCTCAATGTCAGAAGCTATAGACTCAAAAAATCCTAACTTACATTCTATTTTCACTTTTATTTTCTAATATTGACTTAACTATAGCATTACTACTTATAGTGTGTTTAAATTTCTCAGCTTTTGCAGCTTTAGCATGCTCTTTTAATTTAGAAAGTGTATATCTAAAGCTTTCTGTGCAGCTTTTGAACTCAACCCATTGAAAAAACAGAATTTCACTGGAATATGTGCTACCTACAGCAGTGCATCTTTATCTCACGGCACACCCGAACCTATAATTAAATTTCCATGGAAAAAAATCACGTGATTTAAAGTTGAGTAAACATTCTATACTTGCCACTTCACAAAAAAATAGACAAAAAGAATTAGGTTAATTAAATAAAACAGCACCTTGTTCCTTAAAATAGTAGCAGGTTACAACAATAGTTACATTTAAATTAATAATTCCTTTTCTTATGTAAATGAAAATTAGCGTTGTCTTAATTTGCACTTAAAAGTGGCACAATAATTGACTTTAGAAACTTGCCTAATGCCCCGCACAATAACCTACACAATTATAGATGCATTTTTGATTTAAAGAAAATTTCATTTTAAGTGAAAAACAAAATTATATGCACATAACATCAGGTTATGTATATATACATAATGTAATAAAAAATATGTATGTTTGTTTGTTTATTATAACAATGAATCACTGACCTATAGTTTGACAAACATCCATTCATGTTACAAGACTATTGTTAAATTATAAATCCTACAGAGAAACTTTTTTACTTCCCAGTTTGCTTCTTTGTGACCTGTTTTAAAGGCATCATGAATTACAGTAGACCCCTATAACACTGTTGATAATTCCATATCATATGAATTCCATGTTGTACGAGTCACTTAGATTTTACAAATGCATGTGCTGGGCTGTGAATGGCTCACATATTTGTAAAATCTAAGTGACTCGTACAACATGGAATTCATATAATACGGAATTTTTCCCCCATACTCTTTCCACCCTGTGGGCACTAAAAGGGTCGCTTATAGCAGGCCCACAATGGGGCGATCAGGTGGTGAGGGACATGGCCCAACATATCCGAACAGACCACCCCCGAAAAATTCCTGGGGATTCCTTGACCCGTCCAGATTTGATCCCTATAATACAGAATTATCAACAGTGTTATAGGAGGGTCTACTGTATGTGAAATCACAAACTAAAATCTGCAAAATCCTCAATTTTCTTTGAAGATAATGGGTTCAAAGGATACATAAATGAATGGCAGATAATATTTTGTATTTGTATATATGTTCAATTCTGTCAAAGAAAATTCTTGCGTTCATAAAGTGAAGATATAAATCATCATTCTATAAGCAACTTTCAGAAAAAATCTAACAAAATCTTTTATGCATGCATAGAGGAAGTATGCAAATTCTATTTGATAAAATTTGCAAATAATACTTTTTTTGCAGAGAAAAAGTTAACTTATTCGCTATCATAATCAGAATATCCTTGAGTTGCAAAGTCTACAATAGCCTTCATTACTGTTGAGCAATTAAGGAAAATTCACCTGCAAAATGTTTAAATGAAAGTGCGATTTATAACAATTCATTTCAGAAAATACAAATTTTCCAGTCAGCCAGACACCCTGTGATTTATTGTGTATTAGAGAGATCAGAAACAACACTTGTGATTGAATCATTATTTGGGTAACTGCTTATTCATAAAAAAAAATTTCCATTTATTACGAATGTGTGATATAATGCCATATTAAAAAATAGGATAGTAGTATCAAGTAGCATTAACTAACTACTGTTCTAGCCATTCTGTCAAACTCTTAGAAATTTATTTTAAAAAATTCAGTTTGTAACTACAATAAGTTATAATTAAATTTACCATTTAAGCAAATTATTGAAGCTTCAACAGTAAGGCTGTCAAGAGGGAAAGCTTAGAAATTCTCCTCCAGATTCAAAGAAAATTTACGACCTGTAATAATTCCTACCCATGTAAAATTAATATTTTTACTAATAGAAAATAAAATCTTCAAGACTCTTTCCTTATTAATAAAAAAAAAAACATTCTGTACATTTCACTTGCTAAAAAAAGAAAAAAAGCTACATAAAGGGACCCGTGAAGAAACAAAAAGGACTGCTCAGCACCCACGCCCCATCAGCTCTTGACAGCCCCGTTTGCAAGATATAAAACAATTGCTCTATGCAATTTTTTAAAAAGTATATCTACAATCATCATTTATGGTTACAGATTATAATACTTATAACAAAAAGTTATACAAAAAATAATTTTTAGGATTATGAAAGAATAAAAAGAAACTTACCATATTTGCTTTGCAAGTTCATATTGTATCCATTTAAAAAAAATGCAAGTTTAGAATACAAAACTCTTTAAATTAGCCTATAAAATGACACATTATTAAACTATGTACAGTAGTCATTACGAGCAGGGCTGTTGAGAGCTTGAGCAAACTTGTTCTGCCAGCTTTTTCGAACAAAATATTAGAATATTTAATTAATTACAGTCTTAAATATTTTCTTTTTCATTAGTAAAAACAACATTAGAAGCCTGTAGAAGTTTCGACTCCTGTAAGTTTTCTCCGGACGCAGAGGAAGCTGGCGATTTCTCTACGGCTTGATTACAAGGCAATTCAAGACGTAACTTGACAATGTTTCCAATCCTATATTTATGAATAATACAATTAAACAGATTTAAGTAATCTTTTTCTAATCTGGATAACTATTTTTACATTATTTTGCAATTTGTAACAAGTGGCTTTGCATTTGGTTGTATATTTTTTGTATTGTTACTTTGAAATTAACCTCTGCAGTTCTTCAAAGACAAGGTGTTTTGAAATAACGCACTCATTAAGTGGTAATGGTAATCTAGATATATATTTGATTTAGCATAAATGTTGACAATATTGTCTGCAATCACAATAATTCCACTATTATTGACTTCTTAAAATTTCTACACAATTTCACTTTAAGAAAAATGATCAAACTCAAATTTTCTGATTTCACATTCAATAGGTTCTACATATTGCTATTTTAAAAAAATGTAACACCTTTACAAAATGAATTTTTCCTAAAACTTAATTTAACATTACCGCTTTTTCATGCAAATACCATGCAATTCCGATACTACGGATCATTCATCTTAAAATTGGAAGCTCTGTAAACCCTACATTTCCTACCTTTTCATGTAGTTTTCGTGAAAAAGATTGCACTAAGTAACAAAGTTTGGCAAACTATTACACTTCGTATACAGTAGGATCTAAAAATTAAAACTTGCACATTGAAGCTATTAAAAAAAAAACTTAATTTGAAAATTTAAGTACAAAAGCACCAAATATCAAGCATTGTATTTCTANCTTCTGGACGATGGAAGCTGGCTATCTGTCACAGGTTTATGTCTTCTACCGGACAGGATCGGACGGGAGACACTGGATTCAGACCTTCCTGAGGATCGCGCGGAGGGACGGTCGCACTGAGGGGACGATCGCCCGGAACTTCCCGTGACGATTGTTTTTATACGATCGTCGTTGGCACTGAGCCAACAGGTCGTTCACTCGTTCTTCTGACTAATTAGCACGTGAACGTTGACTAATTGACAAACGGACGCTGTGTAAGATTCGACAATCTATTTCAGTTATATTTTTTTCCATCCTCTAATGAAAAATATGTTAACCCTAAAAATTTTCGAACTCAAGCCCCTCGGGCTCACAATAATATTATTTGTTGGAATATAAGTAAATTTATTTATTTATTATAAATTGTATCCAATAAATTTCTTGATAACATAGCATATTACATTTATTTCATTTCTGATCATATTCTGTTTTTCTCTGCATAACACTAAATAATCCTTCTCCATAATTTAATGGATTATTCCTTTTAGATTATTTCAAATTTCATCTATTTTGGGGCATAATATAAACATGAACATAATGGAATGTCTTTTAATTAAATTATCTAAACTCAAATGTATAGTGTTTTCATGTGGATAACTTGCACTCTCTCCATTGGTTTAAAATTAAGCAGTGCTATTGCACTGCTTAATTTTAAACCGACGGAGAGTCTGCAAGTTATCCATCTGCAGCTATCTATTAATTTTGCAATTTATTACAAATTACTTAAACAGCTTTTTCTTTGTCTGAAGTTAGAGAGTATCATAGAAATGGCTGGCGGTAATTTACATATTAAAAATATATTAAAGAATACAAAAAATTTTAGAGGTGCGGCCTCAAATAAAAGATAGTCTCTGTAAGTGAAGATTGTGTAATGACAGATTGTGAAGACAAATTTTTTGTATTCTTCAGTGTATTTTTTTTTAAATGGTTGTGTCTGAAATATTCCAGTTCTTCTTTTATTATAAACTGCATTTTAGTAAGTACAGTAGAGCGTTCCAGACATACTGTGTAATGCTGAAACGAACGTTTTTGATACTAGATTAACCTCCAAAATATAATTTTTTTTGTTTTTATATTTTTCACTAAAAAATTCTTTATTTTGTACAAAGAAAATAAGTAAACAATACAATAGTCATGATTATTATTCTAAAAAATTTACATTAGGCTTACCATCGACAAAAATTTAACGCAAAGCGACATGCGCTGCAGAAAAATTCAACACGGGATAGGTTAATATATTTTTTCGTACATAATCGGTTGTCCAAACAACCCCAGTCCCAATTGATTCGGATAAACAACGCTCTACTGTACCATATTTTGGAAGCATGAATTGTGCAAAGGTTTTATATATATACAGTATACATATAATATGGCACTTACTAAAATAGAGTATATAAATTTTTTAATTTATGGATTATCTGCATAAAAATTCAGTGTAAATAATGATAAAAAAAAATATTTTTATTATTTTACTACAAAATGCTAAATTTTATAAATTTCATTAAAAGTATCCTTACATTAAGGGAAGAAAAAATATTTTCCAGCCAAGTCCATCCCTTCCAGACTTAGTACCACCACCACCGTTGACTGGTTATGGCGAAACCATCGTTGCAAGTAATCCGTTTGACGACACACTGCCGACCGCGAATAATACATCTGTCCCACCCATGCCGGGCCCTGGCATGACTCCTGGGCCTCCAATGCATCCTAAGCCAGTGCCTATGTCATCTGGAAAGGTTAATTTTTCAATTTTTGTGTATCTTACTTTTCAAAAAAGTAAAGCTGCTAATAATTTTTCTTAATTAAATTATTATAATTTTTAAATTCTAAAGGTCTATCCTCCCGATCAACCGATGGTATTTAATCCTCAAAATCCCAACGCACCTCCTATTTATCCCTGTGGTATTTGTCACAAAGAAGTTCACGACAACGATCAGGCCATACTGTGCGAAAGTGGATGCAACTTCTGGTTCCACAGAGCATGTACCGGACTGACCGATGCCGCCTATCATCTCTTAACTGCCGAAGTCTACGCCGAATGGGTTTGTGATAAATGCCTTTCATCAAAAAATATCCCTCTTGTAAAATTTAAACCATAGTTGTTTTTAGAAAGTTACATAAATGCATATTTGTATGTGTCGAAGTCAAAAGCTACATGATTTTTCTGGATACATTGTGTTTTATCAGGCATCTCATTGTTACTTATTTGTACATTCAATTTTTTGTATTCATCACGACAGTTTTTAATTAAATTATTCCAACCGTCTATTTTTGTAAAATGCATTTTATGAACTTTCTACCTCATGTTATATACATTAGTTGTGTTGTATATTGTTAAAATAATAAATTCTTTAATGTACATTTATCTTGTATTGTTTCATTTAAATTTTAAAAATTCTGTATTTTTCCTTTTTTAATTTTATAAAAAAAAAATCATTATTCATAATTAACATCTTAAACTGGCAAATAAACATGCTAGATACAGTACTTATCATATAAATTATAAACCTTTGAACAAGTATTGTACATTCTAATGAACAAACAAGTTAAATGGCAAGGCCATTTTTGGGACGAGACTATGTCTCAACTACACACCATTTTCTAAGGAAAAGAGAAAAATGAGCACTAACCAATGAGCAAAAGCTGACACTAGTACTTGGTCCTGACAGATAACAACAGCAGCAATGAAGCCCACCGTAATGATGGGTTGTGTTGTCACAAGCCTGTTCTTGGCTACTGTAAGTGGGAAGATATTTGTACCCAAATTGTCCTAATGTTGCTCATATTGTTTTGCAGGATGGCAAAATGATGAGAGCAAGAGAATAGACGTTTGTCAAAATTCGATTTCACAATGTTCATATTTTGAACTTCCCAATGAGCAACACATGCGCAAATCTTGCACTAGCACCTGTTCGTAGAAACAGTGTCGCCATTTTGTATTTTATTTTGACTCTGTTCTCGGTCCCGACTACCTACAAGCCTGGTTTTTTTGTGCGCGCATGATTTGGGCACCAAATACTCTGTGCCAAATTGCAACCCCTGACATGTACTCCTCCATACCTCTAAAGGTGTCTAGCATTTGACAGCAGCACAATTTTATAGACAAGAAATAGTCTCGTCAATAACGAAGGATGAAATTTTCTTCTAATAAGAATAAACTGATGACCAAATGGCCAAAAACAGTTAAGGCATTAGCCTATCATTCTGGGGACTCAAGATCACATCCCAGGCAAAAAACATCAGGAATTTTTCATGGCATTCTGTCCTGGATCTTGGGTCCAATACTGAGCACTACCCATCCAATCTATCTTGTGGGCCCGACCAAACCAATGATGAGTTATGATTAAAAATGCCCTCTTAGTGCCCTTGGGACAAAGTCAAAATAATAAGCGTTCCTTTATTGAACCACTAGGTTCAAAATGATAATATATGCATCGAAAAGCTATGTTCTTAATTCAGTTATCATAGAACATTATCCTTTCATTCCAAAATGTAATCCTCAATTGACAGATGGTCTTGAATTTCAATTTATTTTTTTTATAATTTGATTTTTTTTTGTTTGCATTATATATGGAATTCTATGATAGTTTTCGGTCTTATGTTAAACATAAAATAACATTTTGCGCTATATTTTAAGACACACAAACAAATCATAAATGCTGGTATTGTCTGTAAAGCACCCTTTAGAAGTTTTTGAACTAAATATTTTTTGGCAAAATTCTTTTCTGCATCTTTGCATAGTTTTTATATGAATTTTGATGTCAATCTGCTCATTGGTCATAGCTAGTATACTCTAATAGGGAAACTTTAATTATAGCCAACTGTATATTATGCTATTGTAACTGAAATAGCAACAAAATTATCAAGAATTTCCTTTTGTTCAGTCAAAAGTCAGTTTAAGTATTTTATACATAATTTAATGCTTTAAGTTCATTAAAAAATTGCATTATTACTTGTATTAAAAATGTGTTTATATTAATTAAAATTGTTGAGTTAATTTCTCATGCTATTCACAATTAATGCAATCCTTTGACAACAAAACAGCTTTATTTCTAATTAGAAGGGTTTAATTAACAAGCTGTACATTAAAGGTAAGCACACCTCGTGCTTCGATCAACGCCACCTAACAGAGATGATTTTTTTAATTAATTAACATGTATCCGCAGCCTTCCCATAGCCAAATTATAGCCACGACAGATTCCCCGCCTAATTTGGCCAGGGATTGGGTGCGGCGGATTCACATATACAAAAAATCGTCTTTGACGAACAGATTTAACTTTGGTCGACTTAACGGTTTTGTAAAGGCGTCGGCTACGTTTTCTTCGGTTTTTATATATTTAAGTTGAAATGTTCCTTCTTCCATCTGTTGACTTAGATATGATGCCAGTCTGATTAAATGATTCGAGTTGTTACTCGTGTAGCCTGATTTCGCTATGGAAATCGCAGATTGGTTGTCGCATAGAAGTTGGATTGTTTCGAGTTTTCCAAACAGTTCTTGTAGAAAGAATTTTATCCAAATCCCCTTTTTAGCACAGCTTCCTAGGGCGAATAGTTCTGCGTCGCAAGTTGAGAGAGGGGTGATGGGTTGTTGCTTCGAGGTCCAGCTTAATATGTTCTTTCCTATTGAGTAAACGTATCCTGTTATACTCTTTTCTGGAGGGGTTCTCCAGCTGGCGTCAGAAAGGCCCCTGACATCTAGTCTGTCTGGTGTGTAGCGCAGTCCTGTCGATTGTGTTCCCTTCAGATATCTGAGTATGCCCTTTAATGCAGTCAGGTGAATAATTCTAGGGTCTTTGGTATATTTGGAGAGCAGGGTTACTGCACACGCTATATCGGGTCTTGTGCGCGTTGCCAGGAACATCAACGAGCCTAGCATTTCCTGATATAACTTCTGATTGCACGGTTTTGAGTCGTTATATTTTTCTAGTTTAACGTCGGGATCTAGCGGGGTACTTCTCGGCTTACAATCTTGCATTGTGTACTTCTCTAATATGTATTTAACGTAATTTTGTTGTTTGATCACTATCTCTCCCTTTCCTTTTGTTATTTCCATGCCTAAAATATTCTTCGTGTCTGGACTTTCTTTGACCTTGAATTTTCTTCGAAGTTTTTTTAGTAGCTCCTCTAAGATCTTCCTGTCAGTAGATATAGTTATTATATCATCTACGTGAATTCCTAAGATAACTTTTCTAGTTCCTCGTTTATAGATGTACACACACTTGTCAGATTGGAAGTTCTTTGTGCCGATCTCTATTAGGTATTTGTTAAGTGTTTGATACCAGATTCGGCCACTCTGCTTTAATCCATATATAGCTTGATTCAACTTGCATACTTGCCTTTGGTTTTTCGTATTTTCTACGTATCCCTTGGGTTGTTCCATATATATTGTTTCGTTTAGCCTTCCGTACAGATATGCCGTTTCTATGTCTAGGTGGTTGACGTCATAGTTGTGTATAGCAGCGTAT